TCATACAGAATCCTTTGTTTTCTATTGTTTATTTATCACCATTTAGTACTAAAAGTTAGTATTTGTTTCACGGGTTTAGTGCGTGCACTCTACAATCAGTTTGTGACTGTTTAAAATTAATTATTTTCTGACACTATTGCCTCAGCACTACAAATATTGCTAATATTACCAAATTATGTAGCTACGAGGGTTTGAATATTCACGTAACATTAGTATTTCGTTAGATCCTAAAACACTATCGAATAGGCCAAATCCGATATTGGGATATATTGAAATTCTAACTGGTTTTATCCCAAAATATTATAATGATAGAGTCGATTTGTTGCGTATTGTTTACAACTAATGTCCTTTGCAGCTGTCATTACTTTCGGTCTCAGATCCTCACGGGCCTTCTCTCACGAGCCCATGAGGATCTGGGAGCGAAACTATTTATAGACTCTTCCACAGTCTCTCGCTCGTCCGTTCCGTCCACGCTTAGAGACTGTAACGGTACAATGACCGAAAGGACTTATGGGTCCCGAAAACATGGACTCAGCGTGCTTTGGGAACCAAAATACTCGTCCACAGTCTTTCTCGTTTTCGCCGCCATCTTGAAAATATTGAAACTATATGAAATAGCCTAAACTATTTACGGCTGCAGAGGAGACTAGTTTATAATTGGATTTTAAAATAAGAGGATGTCTTTCCCAAGTTGAAATAGGAAAACATTACACCCAAAGTAGAGAGGACTATATATATCTTATTAGGCATTTTAGGGTGAAACGGGTGGATGTTTTTTTGAGTCTGCTGTATTTTGTCGAGTCCGATATAAGTTATTTATTATCCAACTGAGGTAACTTTTTCCCAAAAAAGGCTTCAAAACGAATATTCTTAAAAAACTAGTTTTCAAAACCGGTTTTTTACGGTACTAAATCACCTAGTGTAAAATATCGTGTGATAATCTGAGTTTCTCGACCAAACCAGCGAGCGAGATTTTCCATAATTACCTGTGTATTTATACTAATCCTTCATATTGTTTCCTCATCGCTACGAAATTCTATTGTTACTAARAAAGTATATGGGTAAAGTTGTTTGGATTCTCACAGAAAATTAGCGTTATCTTGTTCCTAAACTATATTATCGAAATGGCCAAAATTTCGACCCTTCCTTCATCGTATTATTAACCAATGAAAAAATAAATGAATTCATAGTCTATTCTTTGAACAGATTTTAAACTACGAGCTTGATATCTACTTATTTCTTTAAGAAATACCTAATCTCTTCTCTCGTCTGATCCCATCCATGAGTGGTTACAGCCTTGTAGACTTCAATCACAAGATTTGGAAAATATTCAAAGAACACAAAGTCTTTCAACAACTGATCTTGAATTAAATTTGGTAATTCAGTCACATGTGCGTATGCATTTCGTATGAAACGTACCAACTCTACTACAGAGTTCGTTTGGTATGTTCTTCTTTTTGTCATTTCGGTGTAAATGGCAGGCATGTGTGCATAACCTGGGTTATTCCATTTCACATACTTGACTATAGTACCAAACCTTGCCTCCAACTCAGTCTCTAATGCAGTCAGAAGAGTCCTCTTAGCACGTGAGAATCCAAATTCCTGTTGATTGCCAACAGCAATGAGAAAATCCAGCTTTTTCTTTTTTGGCCAGAAAAAGGGATGAGCTAGTGCAGCTGTCGCAGTTGGCCGTTCGATTGCTTCTTTTAGTAGTAATCGCTCAATAAGGTGGGCAGCTTCAGGACTGAGATTGCCATTCCATCCTTCCTTGTTGTCATTCAATATGTTGTCTTCAGCCTCTGAAATATTTTTGATATCACAGTAGGTCGAGACAAAGGGATGTGTTTTCCCTGAGAAAGTGTAATGAAGAACAAGACCACAAGCAAATATGTCCGATGATTTGGAGTGACCAGTGTCAGATCTCAACACTTCTGGAGCAATCCAACATCTAGTGCCAACATTAGGACCATACACTGAAGATGAGCCAGTGCTATCTATGCGACGACTTAGACCAAAATCGGCAATTTTCAAGCAAAGTTTGGGATGACATCGGTATAGAATGTTAGTTGGCTTGAGATCGCGATGAAGGATGCTATGCTCATGCAAAAATTGCAGTCCCTTTACAATATCCTTGCAAAGTCTGAGTGTTTCTGGTTCACTATAATTATTTTCAAGATAATCATCAAGATTCCCCTCCATCAGTTCTAAGACTACGTAACAAAAGTGTTCGTCTTCAGAAAAAGACAAATAGCGAACGACTTGTTCGCAGTTGGCAAGAGCAGTTAGACTTTGTATTTCTCTTTTGTCTTCTCGCCGTTTCATGCGCTGTTTTTCAGTTCGTTTAATGGCAACTTCTCTGCCATCTTTCTCGTTGATTCCTGCAAAAACAAGTCCAAATGAACCACTCGCCAAATGCTCTTCGTGACACCAGTATGGTTCAACATGCCAGCTCTCTTGTCTCCGTGCAGTTTTTGCCAGTATCGGCTGGTATCTTTTAGAAACTGTCAACCAAGGAATCAGTAAAGGAACATCGTCAATGTTAATTGGTTTTTCCAGAAATTCCTTTAATCCAGGGTGTGAATTTGCAATGTCAAGACAAGTTTTGCCAGCTTTATTAGATATTTGATAATCTGCTCCGCTTGCAAGAAGGAGTTTGGCAATCGTCCAATGAACAGATGATTCCTCTGGGTTTCTTACGATATTTCTGCAGCAATAATGAAGTGGTGTATCTTGTTCACTTTCTACAGCAACTGGAAATTTTCTTGACTCTAAAATCATTTTCACAAGAGTGCTCTTCCAGTGTGCTCGTGTGGAATCATCTTTACAAATGGCATTTAAAAGGGAAAGTGCGATCGTGTTTGACTGAATGTACTTCTTTTTGATTGCTACTTCGAGCAAAGCCTTAGCAAGAAGGAAAGCCTCTGAAGCAATGAGAATACTAAGAACAGATTCTCCATTCTTGTCCACAGTCCATGGATCGAGTCCTTTCTTGAGAGCAGTAATCCAAAACGCCTCTGGTTCGAATTCTTTGGATATATCTGGATAAAAACAAGATGAATTTTGGCCAAAATTTCTTTTTTTTGCGGCAGTAAGCAGAGGCGGACGTCCAAATTCATCCACATCTTTTGGGTTCGCTCCAGCATCCAATAGTAGTTCAACAGCAGTCCAGCTTCTGCATAAATGAAGAGGTGTTTCCTCCTTGGCATTTCGGTCGTTCAGCCGTACTCCGTATTTCAGAAGATTTTGGAAAATTTTTTTTGAGAGCTTCTTAAAATCCAGAGTATCCATGGTCATTTTCTCGTACCCTGGGTCATCGTTAGGACTTCTTTGTAGTTCAACTGATTTCCAGATGGTTTGACCATACCCTTGTTCTGAGTTTAGCGTGAGTGATGCCCACAGATGAAGAGGAGAGATGAGATTATGCCCTCTTCTATTAACTGTAATACCTTTTATTCTTTTTGCAGAAGCAAACAAGTTGAACAATCGTAAGGCTTCATCCAAAATATTTCTTTCTTTCGTACCTTTGAGACTACGGAGTCCTTGATGAAAAAGTTTCAAAACCAAATGTAAAATCGACTGTCCGTCTGAAGTTGTCTCTTCCACACTTGCCCCATGTTCTAGTAGAAACGTCAATACGTATACCAGTTCTTCAACGTCTACCAGTATTTTTTTTTCCTTTTGAATGTTTATCAAATCAACTTCTCTTCGTAAGCAAAAGAGAAGCGGTGTTTCGCCCTGGTGATTCTTGATATTGAATAATACTTCGAACTCCTGAAGCTGAAAACAGATTTTAATTACTGTTTCTTGAGAGACGCCCATGAATGGCAGGCAAGCTGCATAATGAAGAGCAGTGTTTCCATCTGAGTCCACACTGTTTGGATTGGCACCTAACGCAATTAAGAGAGGGAGAACTTTTGGTACTTGGGATTCCCATGTGCAATTCTGGTATAAAGATTCCTCTCTCATTAACTTCAGAATGTTTTGGAGCACGACATCATCATGAGTGGCTTTAATGTTGCCATCTGCTGCGTATTGCCTTGCAAACACCACTGCATCAAAAGCAGGCGACAACACCAAGTTAGATGACAGGATCTTACAAAATATTGCATTGATTATAGTTTTAAACACTGTATTAAAAGACACTTCTTGTGCAACAAAAAACTTGAGCCCTTCACTCAGGTAATCTTTGTCTATTTTTCTCAACAAGAAATAATCAATAAAAAATGACAAGTTACTTAGACCGAAAAAATCTTTGGAATCAATATCCTCTCCTTTGCCAAGTAAATAATGTGATGATGAAAGAGATGTTGTCAAAGCATAGCAAAGTGGAGTTCGGCCATAAACATCTCTCGAGTTGACAACACATTTACCATCTTCAACCAATCGGCGAACAACAAACTCGTTTGCAACAGCATAAAACAATGGCGTTCTGGAATGATTGTCATTGATATTTGCATCAGCACCAGCCTTCATTAAAGTAGAAACTAGAAATTCATTTTGAACAGCATAAAATAAAGCCGTTTTCCCTTCATCGTCAGCATCATTAACGTTGGCTTTAGCTTCAATTAGGCTAACGGTTATGTCTTCCAACTGATGCTGGACAGCATAAATCAAGGCAGTCTTTTTCTTGGAATCTGCAAAGTTTATCTCAGACCCAGCTTCTATCAACTTATTGGCCAAAAATTTATTTTTGTTTTGTACAGAGTATATTAAAGCTGTTGCCTCTTGATTGTCAGTGATATTGACATCAGTACCAGCTTTAATCAATGCAGTTGTTAAGGTTCTGTTTTCGTTTTGGACAGCATAGATTAAAGCAGATTTTTCTTCTTTGTCAATGGTATTGACATCAGTTCCAGCTGTAATAAGAGCATGGACCAAGTCACTCTCTTCATTGTCTTTCACAGCATGTATTAACGCGGTTTTCCACTCATTGTCAGTCAGGTTTACAGCAGTTCCTTGCGAAATCAGGAAAGTAGCCAGACGTTTGTTTTTATATTCAACCGCATGGATGAGAGCTGTTTTAAACTCATTGTCACTTGCATTAACATCAGAACCAGCTTTAATTAGCGCGCGAGCTAAATATTCCGTTTCATTTTGGACAGCATACATTAAAGGAGTTCTGCATTTTTTGTCTGTTATGTTGACATCTGCACCATTCTCAATTAATTTACTTGCCAGCCATTCTTTTTCATCTTCAACTGCATAAATCAAAACAGATTTAGACGAGGCATCTGTTAAGTTCACGTCTGCCCCAGCTTCTATAAGCACTTGAGTCAGGGAATAGTCTTCATTGTGAACGGCGTAAAACAAAGCAGTTTTGCCTTTATTATCAGTGTGATTTATCTCAGCGCCAGCTTTGATCAGTGACTGAACCATGTCTCTAGATTCGTTATTTTTAACGGCATAAATTAGAGCCGTTCGTCCAGTTTTGTCGAAAATGTTTACTTTAGCTCCATGATGAATCAGTATATTGGCCAAGTGTTTCTTCCCCTTTTGGAGAGCACGAATGAAAGCACTTTTACCATCAATGTCCGTTTGATTTACATCTGCTCCTGCTTTAAGTAGCGATTCAATCAGCGCAGGTTTTCGCTCATTGCTGGTTATTCTTGTTATAAAATCTTCAATCCAAACTAACCCTTTATTTTGTCGCTCACTTAAGCTAGAGTTGCCCTGAACGATCATATCATGTTCTAGAATTGCAGTGCAAGTGATTGCAACTTTAAATTCATAATTAGAAAATATGAAACTCGAACCCTGGTGTACAAGATTGCTGACCACCTGCTTGTCATCTTGAATAGCGTTAATCAGAACCCTTTCCCATTCATGGCAATAGGACCGAACATTTCTATAAGCTTGAAGCCAAGCCTCGTTTGGTTCATCAACCTTCTCTCTTTCACTCTCATTTAATTCCTCGGTCACACTGGATAGCCAAATATCCTCGGGAATGTTATCAGTCAATTGAAAACATTTGCAGATAAACTTTTGAAAATTATCAGCAACGGCGTCAATCGAGCAAATCCTGCTCTTATCTGCAGCTTGGCCATCAACGAGGGAAAAGCACAAATAATTATATTCATTTTCAGCTGCATAAATCAAAGGAGTTTTTTTGTCCTTATCAGCTAAGTTGACATCAGTTCCAGCGTCAATTAATTTCAAAGCGATATTTTCTGATTTTTGAAGAACCGCAAGGGTCAGGGCACTTCTTTTGTCTCTATCAGATGCGTTGACGTTCACTCCTCTAGCAATCAGTGCACTAACCAACTGTTCGTTATCACACAGAACAGCATGAGCCATAGCGGTTTTCAACCACTTGTCACGTATATTCAAATCAGCACCAGCTTCAATTAATGCGATGGCTGCTTCAACGTTACTGTTTTCAATCGCACATATAAGGGCGGTTTTTTCGTCAATGTCGCGTATATTCAAATTAGCACCAGCTTGAATCAAAGCACGTAGCAAAACGTCTTTTTCATTGTAGACGGCATGGATCAAGGCAGTTTTAATGTTGACGTCAATTGCGTTGACATCGGCCTTTGCTTCAATCAGTGTGTTAGTCAAGTACTCATTTTCATTTATAACGGCATAAATCAAACAAGTTCTTAACATTTTATCACTCTTGTTTACATCAGCCCCAGCCTTGATTAATGCAACTGCTGCTGCTTCTTTGCTGTTATCTACGGCATGAATGAGCGCAGTTTTGTTTTCAATATCACATGTGTTTAGAAAAGCATTAGCATCGATCAATGTACGAACCATACTTTCATTGTTTTCTTGAACAGCATAAAACAAAGCAGTTTTCCCCTCATTATCAGTTGTGTTGACATCAGCACCAGCATCGATCAATGCACGGACCATACTTTCATTGTTGTCTTGAACAGCATAAAACAAAGCAGTTTTCCCCTCATTATCAGTTATGTTATCAGCACCAGCATCGATCAATGCACGGACCATACGTTCATTGTTGTCTTGAACAGCATAAAACAAAGCAGTTTTCTCCTCATTATCAGTTGTGTTGACATAAGCACCAGCATCCATCATTGCACGAACAGCTGTTACATTGTTACTTTATTGAACAGCACAAAACAAAGTAGTTTTCCCCTTATAATCAGATACGTTGACAGAATATATTCTCTCAGCAGTAAACATGCATAGCTTTATGTATGGACTGATCTAGTGTGTAGTATGTCCCTAAAGAGATTATCAGCTGCCATATCGTGTTCGTTGGAGTGAACCAGTTGAACAGTAAAACCTAAGTCAACTTTTGACCAGACGTACTTCGATGATGATAAGCCTAGGTTACATCTTTGTTTCTGTTATCCGGCAAGGTAATTTGACGTCTGTATATTTTTGTAGTTTCTACCAATGCATTTTATTCATAATTTTTATTGTTTGAGGGTTTTCTCGTCATCTCGTCTAGTGTTTCTTCAAACTCTTTTCATCTCTCTTTTTCCACTTGTGAATAAGAAATGACCATAATCCATTGCGCGCTGTATGATAGGCAATAATTGAAATATTAGTATTGTGTATTGTATATTAATAATAATAATAAATGTTTTTATATAGCGCATTATAGACTCTCAATGCGCTTTACAAATACCACGACGAAGTGTCAAGTGAAAAAAAAAAAAAAGATTAAAGTTACAAATTGAACAAAAATGTTTTTAGTTTTCTCTTGAATATTTCCAAAGACTGCGATGTTTTTATATCTGGTGGTAAACGGTTCCATTATTGTTTTGTCCCCCAGAACAATTCCTCGAGGGTCTCAGTGCAAGGGGACTATTAATTGACTTCCTCGGCTTGGGTGTGATGTTGTCCCATTTCAGACTACGTGTCATTCCCTTGAAAATTATTTCTTTCTTTAGTAGGAATGCTGTTCAGCTATGGTGCAATGTTTTCCCATCTCAAACCATGTCATTCCCTTGAGCATTATTTCTTTACTAGGAATGCTAGTCATCTATGGTGCAATGTTGTCCCATTTCAGACCACGTGTCATTCCCTTGAGAATTAGATTTTTTGTTGGAGTCGTATTCATATTCATGTGTCTTCTCATGTGCAAGCGAACGCAACCGTAAACCAAAGAAAGGATACACTAGGGAATGACACGTGGTCTGAAATGGGACGACATTACGCCAGATCCGAGGGAATGACACATGGTCTGAAATGGGACGACATTACGCCAGATCCGAGGGAATGACACATNTGGTCTGAAATGGGACGACATTACGCCAGATCCGAGGGAATGACACATGGTCTGAAATGGGACGACATTACGCCAGATCCGAGGGAATGACACATGGTCTGAAATGAGACGACATTACGCCAGATCCGAGGGAATGACACGTGGTCTGAAATGGAACGACATTACGCCAGATCCGATTGAATGACACGTGGTCTGAAATGGGACAACATTACGCCAGATCCGAGTAGGTCTATTTATAAAGTTCAAAAGTTTAAAAGATTGGAAGAATGGATGAGTATGTGAATGGGAAGAAATGGTAGAAAATGTAGAAACTAAACAAAACTGAAATGTCGTCAGTCAGAACAGAACATATGAAAAGGCCTCCCAATATCTTTGAAATGCTGCCGCCAAAGGCAACAAAATGATGAACTCTCCAATCTTGAGGTACAGACATTAATATATATATTTTGGCACTGCCTAAAAGCGGAGCTCCCGATAAGGAAGTCACAGGGAGAACAATTTGAATGAAACTGAAAGGTAAAAATAGGATCGGGGAAAAATCTTCCATTTAAAAAATCTTAATTTCTCCCATAATAAAAACCATGCGGTGAAATCGAATCGAAATGCACTACATTGTTTTCTTTGCGCGAGTATACTCTCCCACTTAGGAATTTTGTACACAACTCACCACCACCCCCAGGGACTAGTTTTGTTCTTGGAAGATTCTTCGACAAAGTTTTCAAAGGCCGACACTTTTAGGCTTTGAATCTCTTTTACTTAAAAAAAAAAACGAAAGATAACTACAGATAATCCAATACAATATCAAGTTTAGTGAAATTTACCTCGGATGTCTTTCATTGAAGTCGAAAATCTGGAGATTTAGGGCAAATGAAGACCAAAAAACAGACTTGAAAACTGGTTAAAGTGAGCAGAAAATATGCTTATTTAATTACGTCTTTTATAGAACGAGACGAAGTTTACATACAGTTCAACCTAACACGAACAACTGAGACGAAATAGAAAATAATGCAAAAGGCAAGGCAAAATACAAAAATGATAAATTTCTTGTCAGTAAATTTGCGTTTGTAAATGTTTTTGAATATTTTTTAGCTTTTTAAAGTGAAAGTCTAGGTCTATACAATAACATCTCTCAGCAACACAAATTTAAGCTCATTTTTATAATCATACTTGCTCGAACAGCTTTATAATCAGTTGAATATTTGGTGTAAATTTATATTTCATTCAATAATTAAATAAATTATCTGTAGAAAGATATAAAATTATTGAATGAATGTCTTCTTTGTTTTGCCGATGAGACCCCGCGATAGGAGGCGAGCTGGTTAAAAACAACCGAATTGTTAAAGATTTACAAAGCTAAATAAAGGACGAATATTTGTTGTCGTAATATGCTCTCCGTGTTATTTTTCCTCCAGTATTAAGATAAATTCAGCTTATCTATAGAAATATAAAAAATTTTGAGAGAAAGTCTTTGATTTGTCCGATTCGTCGAGAGAAATGTTTGCCAAAAAAATTTTAATATACGATTGTTTGCTAAAAAACACACACCTGAATTCTTGAACACTTCTTGATCCACCTTTGACTACATGAAAGTTTTTTAAAATTGTTTTTGGTCTATAACTTGTCCTAAAGTGATTTTTTTCTGTGCACTTGAGAGCCACATTTGTGAGTAGTTTTGCTTTGACATCAAGCGGGTTTCGTGTGTTGTGTACACGGATGGACGGACGGACGTACTGACGGAAGTGACGTCAGCCAAGCCATGAAAAATCAACTCGATGCACAGGGAACCCGGCTATATATTTTTTGCTTCTTTTAGAAAATTAACTTTGCTCTTTGTGGGTTTCCTGTGCTGTGATCAGTTTCTTTTTACATAAGCTGTAATCAGATCGACACTGTAAACTGACAGCCCGTTGGTGTTTTGTTTCTTATGGGTTGCCTGTGGTGTGTAACGCACTTTCTAGTAAACACTCAAAAGAGGAGAAGGGCTGCAACAAAGCAAGTGTCCGATTTTAAAACCCCTGTTTAAATTATTCATGAAGGTAATTTATAAATAAAAATCCCACGTAATGTTTGCTCAATGAACAAACTTTGGGTCGGGATGTTTTATTTTGTTGAACTCGTAAAAGTAACGATCCTAGAAAGTGATATTAAAAGCTAAGTTTTAGCTATATGTTCACCTCCAGTTGCTCGGACCACTTAGCTTATGAAACAGCATGTATCTGGTGTACGTCCGATTTGAAACAAAAGAATTTGACAGCTTGTTGACAGAGATATCTAAAGTTCCATATAGTTTCTGGACATTTCCGGGATCGTTCAATATTTCCCGCGAATTCTAAGCGTGTGCCGCAAATCTGATATTATTATTCTAAAATAATTGGAAATAAACGTTACTCAACAAAACACAAAATTTGAATTCCCTTGTTTACAGGATTTTACATCTTGAATATTTTCGGACAACATGACGCAATCGAAACATGAAAGTCATCAAGACTTCCTGCTGGTTGTACTAAAGTAGCTGGTCCGAGCAACTGGAGGTGATGATCATACGATAAAATTGCTGTTTGCTTCGGTTCGAAGAATAGAAGCAAAATATTGTTTTCACGGTTCGCCTAATATGGAGAGTGGTTGCCATGGAGATAATGACGCAACGAACGGCAAAAGGCGGGCTTTCGCAGGCGAAGGGTTTCATTCTAGCCTGACTGCAAGGTTAAGCACGGCACACTAA